ATAAAACACTTAAATACTCTTTCTAACTATTTTAATTACAAGACTTGAGATCTCAGAGAGCTTTATACTTACTTTCAGACACAAAGGCGTTCAGGTTAGATGAATAACACTCATAAATGGCTCTAAATCTTGATGGTGTAACTTTATATAGTTACTGATTGATACAAACTTCTTTCTGCGATGCTGAACTCACACACTGTTTCCTTGATTGTGACCCACTGAGTGACCTGTGTAATTGGTCCACTCAAATCACTAACCACAAGGCTGTATGTGTGTGTGTCCGTGGGGGGGTCCTTCCCACATACGAATTGGTGTGCAGTCACTGATCCACTTCACAGATCACCTTCTTGCTGTGATACACCTGGTCCTTGTTGCCCTTCGACGCCTCAGAGAAATGGGGTGAACACTACTTTCATCAGTGTGTAAGTCTGTTCTGGAGGGGTTTCACTCTCATTGTTAGGTTTAACCACAAACTAGATTTTTATTGTTAATAAACAGATTCAGACAACTGGTCATTTCAGTGTGTGAAATTCCTCTTGTGGGTTTCAAACCTGCCAGGATGTCTCCCTCAAACACCCCATTTTTCTATCATGTTATTAATATTTAAACACAAGCATTTTTGTGAGTAAAATATGGCAAAAATTGGACTTATTGAATGTGATATGCAAACCCTCCCCAAGGTTTGCATATCACAGTTGAAGATGTGCGTTTGACTCATTTGGCACAATGTCCTTGACTCATCATTTGGCTTTGATACAAGCTTATACTGTAATCAAGATCTTTTAGTGTGTTAGTGACATAAATACAGACGTTGACCTTGACCATTTAAAATTTTTATGGCTTAAATTACAAGGTCTACAGAATCATACAGAAATAAGTCTTGTAATAGAGGGGTCAGGTGTAGATTTATGCTTGTTTATGCTTGTTTTATAATTGGGTTTGTGATGTATGACTGCAGGCCATCATTTCCACACAATGTTTTTCAACACGTAACATTACAGCCAAAATGTTGGGAAGGAATTTGCCTACAGAGAACAAAGCAGAGCAAACTAGAACAACCCCAGGTAATACATATTTTAAACAAATGAAGGAAACAATACACAGACAAGTGCAAAGAAATACATTTTAGAAAAACACAGTACAAAATAACCCAATCGAGGTTAAGTAAAATGCCACATTCCTGGCAAAAAAAAACAAAAAACAACTTTGTATATACAGACACACACACACACACACACACACACACACACACACACACACACTAGACCTGCTGTATTTAATCTAATTTCTGTACTTGGGATTTCCCTTTTGGAGCTATGCACACTGTATACATTTCACTCAAAGATTTAATTTGTTTTAAAACAATTTCCAAATGGCTGTACAAAAAAATGTGTGTGTCTGTTTAGTCATGCTGCAGAAGTATTAAGGCCACCTTCATGGCACTTGAGTAGCTATATACAGTATACATACTGTATATACATACATATATTCTTGCTTGATTACATTTATTGTACATTTATTATATATATAACACTTGATGAATGATTACACATAATCTTATATGATGTAATTTATTTTTGTTTTTATTAATTGTACAACAAGGTTACACATTAATCGGCCACACTTGCATCTGTTTTGATTCCCTGCAGATTACATTTGATGGTTCAACATTGTCTTCAGACTTTATGTTTTTATGACTTTGAAGTCATCTAATTCATGCATGAGCACAGCTGCATCTTCAAGGACAGCAAAAAGTAGTCTTCTCTCAAGTCTCTTAAACGGACAACATACTTGTAGTGTTGCTGTATTTTATAAACTTGCCACTTTATTGACGAAGAGTTGCTCAATTCTTAGAGACAGTGCAGTCTATTTGGTGAAGCTATGACTTTTTTCTTGTAACCTTGCAGCTTTTCTCATCACACACATTTCTTCTCATCAACCAATGACTATTCTCTTATAGTATTACAACGGTATAACAATACAACAAAAACTAAAAATGTTTTCCGTAGTCTAACAACTTTCTTCTCTTTTAAATTTAGTGATGGCTTATAAATTTGTTCTCATCAATATTTTCATCAACTTAGTCTTTTGTAGTATGACCCTTATTCTGTAATACTGTGTCTTTCTTCTCAGGAACAAGCACTTTTGTCGTTAACCTTCAACTTTCTTGACTGATGACATTTCCTCGTATTATTACGACATTGCTCTTATAAACTAACAAATTATTTGTAGTTACATTAGGGTTTTGTTTTCCATTAATGTGGCCCTCATTCTCTGTGGTGTTGCAGAACATGAGAACCTGATTTTCTCAAATGCTGAGAAGGGGCGTGTCGACTGTGCTCACCTCATGAATATGGAGCAGCAGGGACTCGGACACTCCCCTCCATGTTGAACTTGTGTCGCCAGCTCCAGCTCCGACCAGCACTCAGTCAGTTAGTCAGTCAGTCAGCCAGTCAACACAGGGTACGGCTGCCGCATGGCTACTGTGTAAACTTCCCTCAGCAACAAGTGGAAAGTGGGCTAAAGAAAGGGCGCGGAGAGGCCGAGGGACAACACTGGGACGAGGTCTCCTATGAGTCGTGAACCTGTGCTTCGCTGACCAAAGTGTTGTTTCCCGCTCGTGCATGTTTAATGCAGAGGAGCAGAGCTATGGTGCCGTGTGTCGGCCAGACTACTAGTACAAACGAGTGGCGACAGCAGTCCGCAGCCATGATTTGGAGACGGGGCTCGGTCATCGCTGCCCTTTTACTCTGCTTTCTTGCCAAGGTATGTTGACCGCCTCAGGGGATCATGTGCTTTAGTTTATCTGCGTCGCATCATTATATATGTTATTGTTATTATTTTACGCGGCGGTACATTTATGACCACCAGGCATTTGTGTTCAAACGTCTTCGTAACCTCAAGTCAGGTGCGAACATTGAGGAATAAAAATGACGTTTATTCGGTATCTCAGTCCGAGCAGTGTGGTCACAGTGTTCACTTTGCTCCAACTCTTGTCTCCAACAGGTGTCAGAGGGATCCGGACAATTCGAACTGCAAATCCTATCGATGCACAATGTGAACGGGGAGCTGCTGAACGGCATGTGTTGCGACGGCACACGGAACACGGCGGATAGAAAATGCACACGGGACGAGTGCGATACCTTTTTTAAAGTTTGCCTGAAGGAATACCAGTCAAGAGTTTCTGCTGCAGGGCCCTGCAGCTTCGGAATGGGATCTACGCCTGTCCTCGGAGGGAATACCTTTTCTTTCAGGAGCTCTGTCAGGAATGATAAATCCAGGATTGTTTTGCCCTTCAGTTTTGCCTGGCCGGTGAGTTGGAGAGTTTAAAACAACTTTCAGTGTCCAGAAGTGCATTTCCCAAAGGAAAACATAAGAAAGAAAGAGAAAGAAAGAAAGGAGAGAAAAAACGGGTTTAGGGCAATTCTGGTGCAATTACTGTCTGCCACTCACTCCCAGAAAACACAACAAGCAAAGAATATCTTTCTTTTTTGGTTCCTAGCTCTTTGTGAATTATCCTTTTGAGGAAGGGCCCCCTGGTTTCCTCATTATCTGCACCAATTAACCAGCTGCAGGTATTTTTCTTCCATCAGGCCCAGAGCTGTCCATTCTGTCCAAATTTTAGCTGCTCTTAAAACTATTTTACAAACTACTCCACAGACCTAGGTTTGAAAAATGGGTTTCTAGGAAGAGTTCGCAGTTAGTTCAAACCCCCTTAAACTGTTTTGTGTAACTGCAAATTAAATATTTCTAAGAAAGATAAAGAAATTATTTTGGTACTGTTTAATGTAAATAAAGTTAATGTTTGATGCTTCCTGCTACAAAGCTCACTGAAAGATCTCCTATTAGTGCTGGTCTGACATGAATGGGCAGATTAAAAACAATAAAAAAAAGTTAGATGAGTTCTTCCAGATTTTCTCCTCCTCTGCAGCTGCTCACGTTGCACCGTGAAGCAGCCCACTTTCAGGTTTCCTCAAGTGTCAGCTCTCTCACTGTGAATAAATGAGGCTGACAGGCCTGTTAGAGTGTTGCAGCTCTGTGAGTGATATGATTTGTCATGTAGAGGCACATTTTTTAATGTTGTGAAAAAACGCTCACAGACTCACTGGCCCCACAGTGTCGCCCACAAACCCCTCCGCTGTACCGGATGGGTGAATGGCACAGTCTGCTGGTATGTGTGTGTCCTGTTACATCAAGGCTATTTTTAACACCCATCTTGATGAAAGTTCTTGCACAGGGAAGACATCACACAGCCAAAATGAGTGAAAGACCTGCAAGGTCAGGGTTTCTTGATTTCCTTGCACAATGGGCAGTTTTTGTGCCATACCCTTGGGGCAGAAAGGATGATTCTGGTTAGTGTGTTTTTCACTGACCTGAAATGATTTTCCCAGCCTGGTAGCACGCAATTCAATATGATCTGGATTTTTTTTTTTGATTTAACCCACTACTTAGATACTGGTGCCTTACACCTTTCTTTTTTGTTTTCTTTTTTATAAGACAAATGTTTCTGTTTATGCTTACACTATAGCAACTCTAATCTGGCATGAATGCTGGGAGCAGGATTAGTTTCATCTTACTGTTTAAAAATCAGACCTCTTTGGAAAAGCATTTTGACATTGAAACAAAAACTGGTACCATTTCCAATTTGAGGACTATTCCAACTCTCCTCATATTTCTTTTTGTATTCTCTGACAATAAGAAATTACTCTAAAAACTATGGCCTTGAGTTTTATAATGGATTGTTGTAAATTATAGAACTTGACTCTGAAAATATTACGACATCGACAAGAGATTAGCAGAATAATTTTAGTGAAACCTTGTAAATTCCCTGTAATTAGAGGATTTCATCTTGGTTTAACAGGGCAGAGGGACTTGTTGATTCTCTCACACTTCACTCAAAGTGCTTTACTTCAGTGTACAGTAACAATCGTCAGGTATGATATTACTCTTTTGTCCTGCTCATAAGTTGATTGGCTGTTGTGGACAGATGGCATAGTAGTGCAACTTGGTTGTTGGGTACTCGGAGTTCATAAAGCCCCCACCCTGTCCTCTCCTGTGTGCTGCACCAAGTTGGCCTCTTGTCCAGGCTGAGGGCTTTGTTTAAGTCATGCTCGGTTAGACCCCAGGCATTTCATCGTTTTAACCTTGCCACCCACAGTAACTGCTGCATTTAATGAGGCTAAACACGTGCTTAAACCAGATAGTGCAAGAGACAGCTGAACAGCTGAGAACCATTTCTGTTCAACCTGTGCACATCTGTAGCTTGGCCTTTCTAATGCTCTTCAGCAGGGACTGCTCAGGTCCTTACTGTGAGTCAAGCTGGGAAAATGGAGTTCCATCAAGAACTACAGTGAGGATTACAGAGCATAATGGAAATGCAGCTGTATCCCACAGGGGGAAGCAATTGTACTCTTAGCACTGATGAAGTTGGTTCTCAGGCGTCGTGTCTGTGGCCTCCTCAGCACGTTTGCTTGTAGGTGCCAACTATTTTAAACGTTGCCCCAATTTAGGGCAGTATATTATTTACCTTAAAAGTTTACGTTGGTCATAATCAGGTCACCTTTTGGGCATAGAGAGGCACTCTTGATTAGTGGTCTGGGAACAGGTCAGGTGAGCCTTAGAATAATAGCCAACCGTGACTGTTAATGCTGATGTCAGCGTCTTTAAAACTAATGTGTGAACCTTTACAGGCCTACACCACAGTGCCTCTGCAGGCAGTGTGCACAATACAAGCATACTTGGGTGTTTATGGTCACCATGCAACGCCTGTCACTGTGCGCTGAACTGCATAGTGCCAAACAAAGAAACAAATTTGTTTATAAAGCTGAAAATTATTTGTTAACATGATCTTGGAATGACTTGCTAGATGCAGAGTTTTCCATAATATATGAATTAATTCTAGTTTAAAAAGAAAAGTAAGCTTTTCTCATAGGATGCAAAACCATGTGCTTGCCTTTTACTCGTGCTGGTTTTTAACCAACTTGAAGTAGTGGCCAACCAAGTGCTACAACAAATCTATGAATCTTTACCACCGATCTGCACTCATGTTTCTAACAGACTGCAGGGAGTAAAAACCCACTGTGGCATGCATAAGTAGTTTTTATTACTCTTTATTTTAGCTGGAAGTTGCATATTGAGACAGTGTTATTTAAAAGACAGACGGCGTAAAGTATGGCCAAGTTAATTTATCTTCTGGTTATATATAAAAGTGAAATGCATTCAAGATATGTCTGATTACACTAAAATATGTTGTTTAATTTACTGGTAAATCTGTAAAGGAAAATAATTGTTGAGTAAACATCTGCTATGCCTCTCATTCCTGGTCACAGGTTAAGGTTATTTTGTTTGCTTTGCCACAGAATGTGTTTGCCGTGCCTCCTTGTTGTTGTTGGCAGAGACTGTGCATCTTTCCTCAGGGTGAGGTTCTCTTGTATCACAGACAAATGCATCTATATGGGATATTTAATAGGCTGTTGATTGTCTCTTACTCTTGTTGTGATGAAAGCATCTTGGCAAACGCACTGCATACCTTCCCTCCAGCCTACTGGTTCATTCAGCACCTTTTAAGGGTGATTGTGCTACATTAGCCATCTCTCTTATATGATTGCGTGTTGCATTTATGGCAAACAAGGGTGCGGCACGTAACTGTCCTAATCATTGGGTAGATTTCGGTAAGTTCTTTGGAAGTGATTGACTCAGGAAAACTGATACAGAAGCTAAACATCCCTTTGACAAGACTATTTACATTCCCTCTGAGCTACGTAAAGGCCTAGACCAGGACAATCTGTAGAGCCTTGCCTTCATAACCTTTGGCTTCTGCCTGTTATTCCATTAGCTGTACCTCTCTTGTATTTTGTTAGATGTTTTTGTAATGATACATCTGATTGCTCAGTTTTCTGGTTTTGGGGCCTGCCTCTCAATTGTGTATTGGGAAAATTCCCCTACTTAGAGGATTCAGTAGTGTTCTTTGGCACGTCGCTTTGACTCGAACTGGAATGATCTTTATCGCTTATGTTGCTTGTCTCTTGGACAGTGTCTGCTCGGCCAGAAAAGATAAGAAGACATACAGCCACACTTATTGCACTTGGACGTGAGTGTGTGTATGTGAGACGCAGAGAGAGAGAGAGAGAGAGAGAGAGAGAGAGGGAGAGTTTGTTCTGTAGTTCAAAGAGAAGTTCAGAGTCAGCTGGGAGCCTGGGAAAAGTGAACCTGGCAGTGGCAGACGGTTCCAAACTGATAACCACTGAGGAGTTATGGGCTGTTGGAGAATAAGGAGTCAGTCTCACTTTCTGAGAGCAGTTACTGTGTCTGCAACTATGCAACCAAATAATTTTTAGGCTACTTGTTCAAGGTCAAGCCATTATGAGTGTGCTCCTGATCCTGCCTCATACCTTTTTTTAAAGTCTTTTGTTTCTGGCTTCATTCCTTCTGATGTAGAAGAAAATGGATGATGATTTCTCAATAGCGATAATTACAATACTGCAGTAGTTTCCATGTTGTGGCATGTCAAAATGAGAAGTATGGGTGTGTTCTTCTAGGTTTCCTTAAGAAAAATGGCAAATAATTGCTTACAATTTATGAAACACTTCTGACATCAGCACCGTGATTTTTTTTTTAACCCTCCGGTCATGGATGAACTTTGTAGATTTGTAGTGTGCCAGGTGGACTAAGATTGTGGCTTATACCCTAGCCACAAATAGTTTATGAAATTGTTTAGAATATTTTTGAGAGGCCAATCAGGTATAATGAGTGAAGTACTAGTTGTTAGACTACTCTTGTTGTCCCATCAACATCGTTTTGATGTCCCTGTGTGTATAGGGATGACTAATTAAGACATTTGAAGAAATGATGCGTTTCAGTTCCTGCTTTCAAGATGAGCTCAATGCCGTTGATGTTTAATGTCATAGAGATATTTTTTATTTTATATCCCCCAAACTTCAATGTTTTAGAGTCTGGGGAGACATAATGTGGGATGTACATATGGGAATGATATGTTCAATGTACATATAAGAATTATGTATGCAATGTACATATGGGAACAATGCATTCAAGTGCAAGTTGGCAGACTTGGAAGAATGCCAGCGTATTTACAAGATACATTTCAGTATGTTTTAAAAGGGACTTTTGTTTTGAATGTAATTATAACTAGATGTTGCTTGTTCAATCGTAAGAGGTATCACATTACTAATGACTCATGTACATGAGCTTTGCGTACTGCAGACAAGTGTGAGTCAGGATATACTGCTTAGAATGTGTTGCTGATGAGCAGTGAATTTTAAATAATAGAGCACTGATTGCAGTGAAATCCTGGCGAGGGATGAGACGGGAAGCTCATAGAGAAATGGAGAGTTGAATAGCTGGGAAAACAAGGTAAAGCCACAAAAAAAGCACTTGAAGACTGGGTCATTGCCTTCTCACTCTCTGGTGGTATTGAACAGGGGTTTTCCTGTGTGCAGCTTTGTTTACCATGAAGTAATCGCAGTGAAGACTACGGCAGCAGCAATGCAGAATTACTGAAATGCCTCCATGTCTCGCTACTATGGGCATGCAGAGTTGAATATAACATGTAGGTGTTAGTAGTGGACGTGCCAACACTATTACTGGATTAGGTTTTTTCACAATTGCGTACTTTTCTTTCTCTCTCTTTCTCTCTCACTCTCTCTCTCTCTTTCTCTCTCTCTCTCTATCTCTCTATCTGCGCAGGCTCACAGAGACATTGTTTGCTCCCACATGACTGTGGCACAGGGCACTGTGAATGTGTAAGCTGATACTGGTGTGAGAGCTAAAGACCCTGAATCAGACAAAGCATTTTTTGGGAGTGCTGAAATCAAGACAGGCCCTGCAGAGTGTAGCACTCATTCAGCGAGATCCGTACTTTTTTTCTGTCCTGCAAATTTGTTTCACTTCAACATGAATTACATATTCTTTTGTCTTGACAGGATATTTCATAACATGTTTTAGATACTTGTGTGTTAGTTTTAAAATGGGAATCTCATGTATTTAGAAAAACAGAAGCCACAATCTACTGGTTTAGACTAGATTGTGGCACCGACTGTAAGCCCTCTCCTCTTTGAATATATGGAAAACCTGATTTTGGAGAAAGTTGAACTGAACAGAAGAAACTGTCTCTGTGGCTGAGATGAAGACATATTTTTGGCTTTGCAGTATGTAGTTTCTGTTTCTTACACTATCCCCTGTTTTGACTTATTGCATTCATCACTTTAGAGTCTGCCCTCTTCAGGCTGATGCTGTTGAGCTCATTTTTCTGCGCATTAGTCATCCTCCCACCCTCCTGCTGGGAGGTTTGTCCAGCTGTCCACATATCAAGTCTTCCCAATTGCTGAGAGGCATGTGTCTCTGCCCCACCACAAGCGTATCTTCCTATTAAAAAAAATCAACTGGACCATTGTTTTAACTGGACCAGAATGAGCTGAAAACCTCAATCAAAAAGCCTGGATTGTGTATATTTTCTTAACTGTCTAAAGTATTGCAAAAATGTTTCCCTCCAGTGCAGTAAACACCAATTCTGTTGATAAGTTTGTCAAAATGATTTATGTTTGTGATAATTCTTAGGTGCATGAACACTACAGGTTATTTCTCATGGTTGCTAACAAACAAGTGGAGTTCTTTGATGTATTTTTTCCCTACCGAACATTTATAACTTGAATGTTTTTATGATTGCTTATTTATGGATGATGATTATTGTATCTCTTGTTCTGTCCTCCTCAGAGATCCTACACTTTGATAGTAGAGGCCTTGGACCTAAACAATGAAACCAGTGGTGAGTACTCCTTATATTATTTGCTGTTTTTCTCTGTGTTGTTTTAACAAAGTTAATTGGCAGGTGTTTGTGAGGTGGGGAAATGAAGTAGATGCAGCAGAAGGGTGGGAGAGGTGTGGGGCTCAGACTGGGAGAAGGAAGTGTGGCGACGGTCTATGAAAATGTTTTCATTTGGCCAATGACTGATGGCAGGTGCTGCCCAGTAAAGGTCAGGGTCACACTGTCTCACTGTCACTGAGGCGTGAAACACAGCGTTATCTAGCTGCCCACCATGGCTCTTTAAGGAGCCTACAGGCAAAAAGTGGGGGGCTTCAGCCTCTGACATGTGCTATCCTATAGATTAAAGTTACTTAGGTCACAGGTGATCTGAGCTCCCAGGGTTCAGTGAAACACTTTTTTTCCACCACACTGCTTTGAAATCCAAGTTAGTTGGAAGGACATGGTGGTCACATGCTGAATGTAGTCAGTTTGCTCAGTGTGGTTTCTGTACTGTGATCTGTGCCAGTGTTTCTGATGCATAGTGTTCTGATTGGCAACAGTGTGATGACACCAGTTTAGGGAGAACTTGTTTATGCAGGCCTGTTTGACGTCAACAAGTTTTCAGCCTTTTCTGCTGTATTTGCCGCTCCCTGGAGACCTATTAGGGCAGTGGTGTGAAAATCCTATTGAATGTACACACACTGCTCAAGTCCCTGTAGGATCAAGTCCCTGTAGGATCAACCAAAACAGTTGCAGCTCAATATATCATAACAATCCTCACTTTTACCCATTTAACCAATCATTGACTCTGGAATTTATTTATTTATTTTACAAAGTCCTGGGATTATTTTTTGTTGAAGTCTTTAACTTTAACTGCAAACTAGTCTGTTTTTGTTCCATATATATGCAGTTATTCAGTTTAGATTTGTTTTTATATATTACACTATTTAGCGAGCAAAGCATGATCTTTATTAGTTTTATCATGGTTGTTAGATTTATGTTTATATTTGAGCTTGGCAGCAGGTATCAGGTGCGTGTTACGCCTGACACTGCAGGCCAGCAGCCGGTAGAGAAATGCCACACAGTGAAGACCTGGATCTCAGACTACTGTGAAATGTTACTGGGCTCTGTGATTTTGGTACGCTCAAGGTCTACCTTAAACACACCACGGTGTAGTAAATAAATGGCAGCAGCCTGTCCTGGCCACTGAATTGTGTTGCATCATACTACAAAGAGCAAACACCCACCCCGCGGTCAACCACCCCTGCTCGGGTGAGCATAGTAAATAACTGCCATGACACATTTTTCATTCTCTCCCAGGTGGAAGATTTTGCTATCAAGTAGTGAGTCCTACATGTGTGGGTGAAAGAGTCATGTTAAATTTGTGTGTGGTTTTTATGTGTACAGTGTAGTGTCTAAAGATTGGGCCGTGTGGTGTTTGCTCACTGTCTTTGCTCGCTGTGTGAAGCTCATTATAGCTCCTGGCTCGCAGATCAGTCCTTGCACATTTGACAGAGCCATGACCTTTTCATGTTTGACATGAAAATAAGTCTGTTTCTGTGTGTTTGCAAGGCTCCCAGAGCATTGCACAATCACAACATCAGCAAGGCCTTTGCTCCCCATCTGATGTGAACACGAATGCCTGTAAAAGTGTGTGGAAAAAAAGAGTTGACTTAAGATTTTTTTATTGCCCTTGGTACAAGAATGCATGTGAGAAAAGCAGCCTGTAAGAAAGTGCTGATGGCACACTGGCAGGCCTCCCAGCAGCAACTGTGGCGTTGGTGTCCTCGACGCTGTAATTTACGGTGACTGTGGTTCTGTCCTCGCCTGAGCAGATGCAAAAGGCTGTGTCTAAGACCAGTAATATCCTCTAGCTGTAAACTTGAGAATCAGAAACCATCTAGGGAAAGGACCGTGAGAAAAAAAACACAGTTAAGCGTGCTCATTACAGGCAGTCTATTCCTTTTTTTTCTTCATTTCCTCCTTGTACTTTTATTCCTCCTCAGCACACATGGCTGCTTTTAATTATATGTAATGTGCTATCTCAGGGCTCTTCTGCAATTTGTGTCAGAATTTTTGGAGCATGTTTGGTTCCCCACTGTATGATCTAGGGGAATGCAGGATCCTGCCTTTCCACCCTGGCACAAACATTTGATAAAGACCAAGTTAGTCAGTATTTTTAGAATTCCACAGGAACCATTGATCATGTCGACGCTGATGTTTTTTAGGTGCCGATGGAAGAGTGATAGAGAAAGCTTCCCATTCCGGCATGATAAACCCCAGCCCACATTGGCAAAAGCTGACTCACAACGGCCCTGTGGCCCAGTTTGAGTACCAGATCCGAGTCAGCTGTGATGAGCACTACTATGGATTTGGCTGCAACAAGTTTTGTCGGCCACGTGACGAGTTCTTTGGACATTACACATGTGACTTCAATGGAAACAAGACATGTCTGGAAGGTTGGTCGGGGCCTGACTGCAACACAGGTAAGTCGTGCTGAGATCACAAGTTAGATTCAGACAGTCTGAATAGTATGAATGAACCCCAGTCAGACTGTGGGCTGTGAATCAGACTGATACACTGTCTGGTTGTGGTTCTATTGAACAAAAGACTTTTTATCTCTTTAAGACAACAAGAAAACATTTGTTTCCAGGAAATCATTCCCAGCTTTGTTCGAGATTCCCTGTTACCAATTTTTCCTATTTTGTGCAGTAATTACAACAAGAATAAACAAAAACAAAATTTAAATTGACTAATCAGGAGGCTTTCTCTTGTTTTCAGCTATATGCCGACAAGGTTGCAGCACTGAACATGGATCCTGTAAGGAACCAGGTGGATGCAAGTAAGTGACTAAGACTGCTCTGATTTATAAAGTTTACTGCACTTTCATGATGGGGAAATATCAAATATGCTCTTGGTGGTAGATCATTTAGATTTATAGGAGCTGCATCAAGGCGCCAGTACTGCTACAGAGTGTATCTGTGCCTGTGCGTGCTCGGTTTTCTGGCCAAAAGACTTATCAGTGCCCAGGCTTTAGAAGAAATGCAGCCAGAGCTACTTGTAAATCTCTCATTGAGCTTTTGACCCGAGCTGCCAGTGTGGAGAAAGCGGAGCCTTGACTGCCAAGAGTCCATGTTTGAAAAATGTGGCCTATATGTTTCCTCTTAATGAGGCAACTGTTATCTATCAAATCGCGTGTAACATTCAGATGAGCCTTTAAGTGTATTGTTTGTGTTGCTAATGGCTTCCTAATGCTATTTATGCACACAGTCAGAGGGAAACTCAGGCTCAGATGGATATCAGAGCTTGGGTATTGTGTGCAGTCACAGTGTATCTCAACCTCATCCTGGAGGAGGCCCAGCAATACCCGAGTCTTCCATCAGCGCAGGCAATGGTTGCTTTCTTAAGCTTGGTTCATATTCAGTGTAGCACATCCAGCACGGCTGAGCAGGCAACATAACATGTGTGTTTTGTGCTATTCCTACAGGAGTAATCCTATGCTCATTGGTGCACCTTCAGTTTTAGCTGCACAAACGATAGATGAACCAGAGTTGTTGAAAATAGTTGACATTAGAATGCAATTGCAAGGCTGCAAAGATAATCACATGGTTCTGGATTTATGGAGTAATGAGCAAGGTCACACAGGGAGGAAGTCAAAAGTAAACTGCATCCAACACTGAGACACGGAGACTACCCACATCAAACAGATATCGCTTTTACCTCTGACGTCTTAGCCAAATTAAAAAGGTTGCATCGAAACCCTCCAAATGAACATTGACATTGATATTTCTTCTTTGTAAACATAACCACTACGCAAAGGAAGCAGCTGTTGTTGCTGGACTGTTTTAAAGCCTGTGGA